TCCCCTAGTTTCATTTTAATTTTACCAGGTCAACCGAACAGAATTTTGGAGGAAACATTATTTGTGGCTTGGAGCACCAACTTTCCACAACTTCTTCAAAATCATGGTGGCAAATCTCTGAACATATTTACAGGGAATGGTGAGTCTTTCTCTCCAGATGGCTCTCCACAACAAGTTAATCCCACTTCATGTTGCTGGTAATTGAATTCTCCCCTGAGAAGGAAATTGTATGAGATCCATGAACATTTGATGTATGGATATTTCTAAACAGCCTGACTTGGAAAAGATTAAAACAGCCTTGTATTCCCAATCTCTCAGACCTCCTTACCGGCAGGACCCAGATTTTAATCTGCTCCAGGTGGCTAAACTCAGGAAGGCTTATATCTCTCAGCATCTTCAATTAATGCCAAGTGCAATCATAGTTGGCAGAGTTCGGGGTGTTCTGGCACATTTAAGGGACGGGCATGGAATCTCCCTGCCAAGTCCTCAGAGTACTATCTTTTGGGCTGCACTTTCCGCAATCAAAAGTTATGCTGATTAATGAGCTACAGGCAATCCCTTACACTTAAAAATCAGAACCATGGATGGGGGAGTAAGAATGAATTTTTCTACATAGCCTTGGGTTCCTTGACCTCAAAAGCTTTTTGCAGTCTCTCTTTCAGGACCTTTGCCATGTGAACAGCTGAGTTGTTTGAGTTGTTCTGTTTCTTAGTGAAGGGTTACTGCGACTCTCCCTCAGTGTGCATATTTGTTTTAATGTTACTCGTGAGCTCAGAGGTGTTTGGAATTGGTCACTTTTAAAAGTAGAACAAAGCATTGAAGCATGGGGTTTAGGAAACAATCTCACAACTGGACTTGCCTTTGCCTATTTGATTGACTTCTAGTTCCAGTGATAATGAAGCAAATATTTCTAAAGGAACAATGTAGATAATATCTTGGCTTTTATGACTTTCAAGAAGTCATTCAAGGACAAAAAATAGTATTCATTTTGTTTGACTAAAGTAAAGAATTTAGTAAATCCTTTGCATTTTTTTTTCAATTTTACAAGTGACTAAAGTTTGTATTTAAATCTGATTTCATTAGTCATTGTAAAATGGCACATTGACTTCATTACACATTGTTTTAAAGGCTGGAGAAATGGAGTCAATTCTATTTTATCACATGCAACATGAAAGTCTTTGTAATTACTTTGTTTTATGAGACTCCCCATCAGCTGGGTATATTGTAAATACCCTCTTCCATGTTTAGAGATGGAGAAAACGAACCATGTGGCTGTTCACATTATAGCAACAGCAATGGAATTAAATTGGAGACATTATTTTTAAAAGAAGAAGCTGCCTCCACCCAGAGCCTTCCAAGTGTGTTTTGCAGACAGAAGCTCTGGAAAGGATATCCCCATGTTGTAGGGACAAATGAGGCAAGGCACCAAAGACAGCAGGAAACAGTTTTATTTGGCTGCAGCCAGGTTCAGAGGGCACAGCTTTCGCTGTAATCAATTAATCTCCTGAACCCTGAGTTCAGGGAGTTTCAGAATTTTATACCCAGCATGTAAGGGGAGGGGCTCAGAAGTTCACAGTCTTCGAAAGTTCACATAAAAGCAGCTTTTTCTTTCATTGTTCTGGGCATGTTAACCCTTCAAGTTAACATGAGAAGGGGAGAGCTTCTTCTCCTCTTTCTATTCTCCCCCTGCCAGCTGTACCATAAAACCCAATTGGTAAATTCTCTTATCTTAAAAATGTAGACATCTCTGTGAAGCCCAGCTCAAGGCCAGAGGCCTTGTTTGCACATTTCTTCAAAGAACTCTACTGGATACATTTGTAAAAAAAAAACTAGTAAGGGGGGTGCCCAGCACCTGGAGAGCTGGTATCTTTTCTGTTAGTAGCCAAGTAAAACAGGGCAACACTAAAATAGGAAGTTTATCTACATTGAACTCTTTTGCAGAGACTCTTTTGCTGACAGTCCTAAAATCAGTCTGGGTGAAGATTTCTGGAGAGACCCAATTAAGACTTTTCAGTGTAGAAAGGGGGTGCCACTTCACCCAAAACTGGAGAGCGTGAGGGAGCCCACATGTGCCTGTTTAATTCTGTCCCATGGGGGTTTGCCTTTTCCCTTAGAGAAACTGGTGGCCAGTGCCCTACTGTGTTGTCAATGGCAACCACCGAATTTACTGACCAGAAAGATTAACAATTCCTAAAATACTCAAATAAAGGCAAAAAGAAAATGGGAAAAGAAATAAACAGAGGATCAAGACTTCTCCATTCATCTGTCCTGTTTTATAATGTGAATTCTTTTTACCCCAGATTCACCCTTCCTCCCATGGCTGCTCTTCCACATCACCTTTTCCAGAATGCCTGCTGGAACTCCTGTTGGACCACAGACTGCAGCTTTGAGGATCAGGTTACCCATGTGTATGGTATTCATGACCCACGTCTCAGTCCTGCCATCCATTAATCTTCTGGTCACTCCCACATTCATTGATGACATTTGCACCTGGCTCATTCATCGCCTCTCTCTCCAAGCACCTCACAGTTCTTGCAAGGGGGGGGGGGGATTGCTCAACACTCTAACTGAAAGTCTTTGTCTTTTTGACTCCAAAGTCTAAGCTCTTCCGCTGTCCCCTTTAGAGCCTTGGGTATCAGATCCTCAGATTTCCTAGTGAGGTGACATGCATAAAAGGCAACACCCAAACTTTTTTGTATCAAGCAGCCACAGTAAAACTCTCAGTCATAGAGTTGGAAATACCTCAATCACTGGGGAAATAATTCTTAGCCTCAAAATGGATTTTATATGTGACAATGCAGACTTTCCAAGCCTCTTGTTGAAACTGGTGAGTGTAGAATTTCTAAAATTTTCTCTTGAGTACAAGATAGTAAATAGAAATTATTAATAACTCAGACTAACTTAATAGGTATGAATTATCATATATATTACTGCAGAGTTTGTGCATTGCCATGATTGTGATATTTGGTGAATATAACAGTTCTTGTAAGGGATTTTCCCACATGAACTGAATTCCCTCAGGAGTTGTTACATTTGGCTCAGGAGTTTATTTGCTATTGGTGTTCCATTTGTTTCACCTGGGTATTTTTAGTTTTATCTCCTTCTTTAATTTTTTTATTACATTTTTTGTTTTTTAATATTCAATTTTCCTACTCTATAAGATTTTTGAGTAATTCCTGTTTGTTTTCGTTTTTAATGGCTGCTCTAAAGATTACCATTACAAATCCTTAACTTGTCATCCTGTTCTACCACTTTCCAATAAAATCTTAGACCCTATCCCCCATTGACTACCCTCTCATCTTAGTGTTTTTTTTGTTACACATCTTCAATATGTACTATAAACCCTACAATACAGTGCTTTATTTTTGCTTTAAACAGTTAACTTACCTGTAAAAAAAAAATTTTTAACAACAACAAAAATGTCTTTTAGGGACTAGGTGTGTCACTCAGTGGCAGAGGGCATGCTACCATGCATGAGGCCCTGGCTTCAATGCCCAGCATAAGAAAAAAAATGTTTTTATATTTGCCCATATATTTACTGTTTCTGATGTTCATTTCATTGTGTAGACTTGTATTTTCAACTGGTATTGTTTCCTTTTAGTCTGAATAACATTCTGTAACATTTATTGTTGCACGACTTCTGGAAACAGAATGTCTCTCTCTCTCTACTTTTGTTTTTGTATTCTTTTTTTCAAATGTCTCTCTCCACTTTCATTTTTGACAGATGCTTCTAGTTGTTATTGAATTATAGGTGGACAAGTCCCCTGCTCCACCCTTTGCCCCTTCCAGCACCTTTAAGCTGGTCACTCCACTGACTTCTAGCCGGCATTGTGTCTTCTGAGAAGTCAACAATTATCTTGTTCAACTACATGTCATAAAGAGATCCTCTCCCCTTCCCATTGGCTGATTTTAATGTTTGGTTTTTAGCCCTTTGACATGACATCCTTGATGTCGTTATCAGGAAGTTTATTCTACTTGAGATTTGCTGAGATTCCTGGATCTGTGGATTGAAATTTTTTCACAAGTTTGGAAATTTTCAGCCATTATTTTCTTTAAGTACTTTTTTCTGCTTCTATGTTTCTCTCTCTTTCTCTTCTGTGACTCTAATTACATGTTCATTACATTACTTGAAGCTATTCCACAGGGTATTGAGGCTCCGTCTGTTTCAAAGTTCTTTTTTTTTCTCTGTGCTCTAGTTTTGATAATTTTTATTATTCTATTTTCAAGTTCACTGGCCTATTTTTGGTGCAGTGTCTAATCTGCTGCTAAACCAATACAGTGATTTTTTTTTTTTTTGGTACCAGGGATTGAACTCAAGAGCACTCTACCACTGAGCCACATCCACAGCCCTAGTTTGTATTTTATTTAGAGACAGGGTCTCACTGAGTTGCTTAGCACCTCACTGTTACTGAGGCTGGCTTTGAACTCGTGATCCTCCTGCCTCAGCCTCCCAGCTGCTGGAATTACAGACATGCACCACTGTATCCAGCTGAAATTTTTAATTTTATACATTTTAATTTTCAAGATATATATAATTTCCATTTGGTTTCATATTTTATGTTTCATTTCTTGATTGAGATGTTAACTCCTTATGTTCATTCTTTCTTTAATATCCTTGAATAAATTTATAATACTGTCTTAAAGTTCTGCCTAATCATTTAGCCTGTGTCATCACTGAGTCCATTTCTATAAACTTGCTTTCTTCCTGGTTCTGGGCACTGTTTTCCTGCTTCTTGTCACATCTAACAATTTTTTATTCTATGCTGGTCTTCGAGAACGCTACTTAGTGCTGAATTTTGATGTTTTTTCTTTAAAGAACATTACATTTACTTCTGCTGTTTGGTAAATTTACTGATTGATCAATTTGAATTTCCTGAGAATTATTTTAGGTTTTGTTAGGATAGGACTTAAGTAGGCTTTGTTCTAGGTATGCCCTTTCTTGGTTCATAACGGAATGCCTGCATTGTTCAGCAAGTGCCTGAGTTGTTCAGCAAGTTCCGTCCACTCTGGCAGGTTGGAAACTCCAACATCTCCCAGCCCCGCATGACCTCTGAGAACTCCATTCTGCTCAGACACCTCCAGGAGCTGTTCACTGTCTCAGAGGATCTCACCTTGCACATGCAGAGCTTAGTCTTCAACCAAAGACTCAAGGATTTAAGGCATTCTAGGAATCCAAGATTTTGGTGGTCCTTCTCTGAGAAACTCCTTTGTTTTACAGTGTCTTAATCCCCCTCACCCCCAAATTTAACTGCCTTAATAGTCTTTAACCAATCTATTTCCTCAGCTCAGTAAGACCACTGCTATCTGTGTAGGCTTTATTTTCCTGGGCCACATTTTGGAAGCTGCTGCTAGGTAAGATGTCACAGTGAATGGACTGTTCCCTTTCCCTCAAAGATCACATGCTGTCTGTGGTCTACTGCCTGAAAAGAGTTGCTTTGGGTATTTTATCCTGTTTTGTTGTTTCTGTGTTTTGGTGGGTGAGTCTGATGCTTGAAACTTCATCATGACCAGAACTAAAAATTAAGTCAGGTGTTTTTAAAAATATAAACATTTATGTTTTGGAGAAAGACTATTTCATTTTCATTTGTTCATTCATATTTTTTCCCTAGATAACACAGAAAAAAATTCTAGTTCTCTTTAAAAATTTTTCCTGTTCCTCTTCTCTAGATCTAGATCTTTCTTTTTCTAATTGTTCTTAATAGGAATGACTCAAGGGTTGCTTATATGCAAACTGGAATTCTGACAATTACAGAAAAGTGTCAGACAACAGTAAGTCTGCCTAAAGTAAAATTTTACTTGTGATGAAGAAAAGGGATTTGTGTATATGAAGCATATGACCAGCTAAGTTTGAAAAACCCAGGTAAATATACCTTCATACAACTTGCTTGCCTTAATTTCCTCCCAGTTCCGTGCTTATGTCCTGAGGAATACAGTCTTCTTTCTCACTATTCAAGTGGAGTCTCAGAATCCTGTCTCCCAGACAAGGTCAATGAACTTCTATTCAAACTCCCTAATTTCTCTGAAGCTTCTGTTCATTTTCTAGTCTAGCAAAGAGCCTGTTTCCAAGTGAATTGCAGAACTTTTATAGTCTATAGTGTAATTTTAGTCATGATTAAAGTGAAACCCCACCAACAGCAAGCTAGAGATCAGTCAAACCATTATAGATGCGTGAAATGAGAATGTTTTGAGGATGCAGTAATCTTCATATTCATAATTTAGTACTGAACATATAGTATAATAGGACTTTACCCTTCCAAGGCTATGCTAGTATTGTGTTAAATGTTTGAGAAGAAGGAAGAAGGGAACTTATTGGACATCAAATTCAACCCCTTCATTTGCATTTTAGTGAAATGAAGTTCATGAAGACTGTACTTTCCCAAACTCCCCTACAGGATCAGAAGTAGATTTTTAAAAAATTTTTGTTATGTGGATTCAGGGATTGAACTCAGGGACACTCAACCCCTGAGCCACACCCCCAGCCCTCTTTTGTAATTTATTTAGAGACAGTGTCTCAGTTGCTTAGTGCCTCACTATTGATGAGGCTGGCCTTGAACTCACAATCCTCCTGCCTCAGCCTCCTAAACTACTGGGATTAGATAGGAGCGCCACCATGCCGGGCCAGAAGCAGATTTACGGCTTCTATTTTCTGACCTTGACTGCAGATATTTTGGGGGTGCTGGGGTCAGATCTAAGACCTTGCACATAATAGGTGAATGCTCTCCCACTGAATTACACCTCTGTCTCCTAGTGCAGATTCTTTATGCTTCTCTTTGCTAAGGAAGGATTCATTCCTTCTTGTTTCCTTGTTTCATTAGAGGCAGGTCTGTTTTATCGATAGGTTCTGTGAACCACAGAAATCTGTAGGAGGGCTACAGTGAACTAGAGATGACTAAAAGGATCATATTCATTTTGTCTTAATTATATCACTGCATTCTATTTCTTAATGCTCAGTTTATTGCTCTAAAGACCCATGTTTTAATTAAAATATTCATTTTATGTTATAATGAATGCATACTTTTTATTTAAAACTATCCATTTTACTGCATGTCTTCACAGCTGAATAAGCAGGCTACGGTAACCTGCTTTGATTACATTTTACCTCTTCTCTTTACTTATCTAGATGCTCCTGGGCTTTGGATGATTGACTTACAAACTGAAAAGCAGAACATCACACACCATTTCTCTGAAAGTCAAGTTCACATGGATCTAGCAATTATCTCCACAGGGCATCATCTATTTTCATGCCTTTGCAAATAAATAATCTTCACTTGAATAAAAATCATTTGCTCCTTGATTCCTTATTATTTATAATTTTGTTGAACTTTATACTTCTGAATTATGAATCAAAGAGGCCTCCTCTGTAAAGTCTTAAGACTACATAAATGCTACCTCATTTAAGGACTTAAGACCACAAATATTCATGAACTGCTTGTGAAAGGTCATTAAAATAAAGCCATGGTATTGTTTATCCTCGTGATATGTCCAAATTTGGTAGTCAAGATGGAGATTCACATAATGGAAACACAAATGTGGGTAAATTTCATAGAAGAAGTGAGTTTAAGGGAAGAACAGGAAGAGCTAGGGAATTTGTGAGACTGGAAAGAAAGTATTCAAAGCAACAGTAGCCAAACAAGCAGATAGACGATGAGGAGCAGATTATTTGTAGAAGTTACACTAGATGATACAGAAGAACCACAGTCCAACATTGCTCAACTTCTAGGAACTCGTTTGATTCTGCACGTCCTGGATTTTATTTAACCTTCCAACAGTGATTCAGAAGTTGTCACCCAGCTCTAATAGAAAATAGGCACTATTACTATCTGCTATAATTGGGATCTGGAGTGCAAAGGTGCATGTGTTAAAGGCTTGGTCCCAACTTGGTGGCATTGGGAGGTGGTGAAAACATGAAGAGGTAGGGCCTACTGAGAGGATTTCCTGTCACTGGGCACATGCCCTTGAAAGGGATTATGAAATCCTGGTCTCTTTCTCTTTTACTCTTTTGCAGTCTGACCCTGAGATCAATGGTTTTGCTATGCCAGGCATTTTCATCAAGATGTGCTGCCTCACCACAGGCCAAAAACAATGGGGCTGGCTCATAGAGCATGGACTAGAACTTCTGAAACAATAAGCCACAATAAACCTTTTTGCTTTATAAGTTGGTTATCTCAGGTGTTTGTTATAGTGACAGAAAGCTAACATGCTGTCCTGGATTCACTGATGGAGAAGATGAAATTCAGAGAGACAAAAGACCTGTCTTTTGTTCCACAGCCAAAATTTGAGGGTTCAGGATTCGATGGTCCAATTGGCTCCACTTCCCATGTTCTTCATCATTGTGCTCTAAATCTCCTTTTATAGGGAGGTCAGAGATGGTAGGAATCAAATGTTTATGTATTTTCTGATCAACTGTGTGGCAGTCTGGAACTGCCTCTGATTCAGGATTTTGCAGATAGTACCCATCTTCTATGTTCCTGCTTGCCTTGCAAACTGGATGGTTGAAGAATTACCCCCGATTTAATAATATATCCTAGTTCTTACTCAGTGAAGTTGCTTAAATCTAGCTCACTGCAGGTCCTAACCTCAGCCTCATATTATTCAGAGTTTAATATTTAGCTATGGATAATTTTTTTGCCATAACTATGACTATGATAGCTTCTAGTACTGAATTTTTAACTTCTGTTTGAAATGAGAGGTGAGACATGAAGTCTTGAAAACATCAAGTTGAAGGTATAGAAGATATACGAGGGAGAACTTCACCAAATCCCAGGATCATGAAAAATGATTTTGCTGAGTTCACATTCCATTGTTAACTGTTTCAAGTTTATTGGACAAGTTGATATCTGAGTGAAAGTGAGCATTTTTTTTTTCTATTGATTAGAAACTTCTTGCAGCCAAAGTTCAACTTGGCTTTAGCAGAACTCTAGTATTCTGTTTTATTCTTTTCCGATTAAAGAATAAAACCAGGGCTGGGGATGTAGCTCAGTGGTAGAGTACTTGTATAGCACGTGTGCATAGCATGTGTGAGGCCATGGGTTCGAGCCCCAGCAAATGAACAAACAAACAAAAAATTACAGAAAGTAGTTTCAAAAGCAGGTCGGGCAAGCTAATCAGACCAATCAAGCTTCTGGACCAAGATGGAGCCCGCACCAGCTTTATTTATATCAGGAAACATCAAAGAGATTCTACAGAATGTTCTTCTCCAAAAAAGGTTAAAGCTGGGCTGTTCAGTTCCTAATGGGTTATGCCCATCTCTGGAGCTACTATGAGGAACCTTCCTACCAGAGTGGAGGGAAAGGTCACGTGCACTGGATAATCTGTTGCCATGGACTGCCATGGGAAGTTCTCAATGCCAGGCCTAACTCTCCCTGACTCCCATGCCCAGAGAAGATCCTCATGTATTTCACGGATGGCTTCCTGAAACATGTGGTCATACCTGAATTTCTATCTTTTTTTTACAGATGTATCACATTAAGTATTAATGAAAAACATTGAACATTCAGATAAGATATCTGTGGATAATAAAATTTCCAACCAACCAAAAAAAAAATTGCAATAACCAGCATCTAAATACTTTCTAAAAAGCAATAGATCGGTTAACACTTTCATCCTTCAATTTCTTCAGCACTTATTGTATTGAAAAACAAGAAGCCCTTATCTGTAAGAGAGCATCAGTGTGAATTAATAATTAGTTAGCCACATTCACTGAGTGCTGCACAGTGCCGAGACAGGTGTTTATAGTTGGTGTGTTTATATTTGCTAGTTGATACAAAATATATTATGCCTTTACTGACTGTAATTTGTTAGGCCATCTCTTCAAGGGGGGAAGTTCTGTTATTTAGTTTTCTAACAAGACTGTATCATGGGCCAAATTAAATAAGTTAAAAATAATTTCATGCACCTCCCCCTCCCCCGGGCCACCAATGAAATGCTTTATTCATGCATATTCATTAACTTCTCCGGAGGAATGCTACATGAATCCTACACATCAATCAATGCCTGACAAGTCAAGACAGCTAAAGGTTCTCTTTGGTCCAGGAGGTGATATCTTCCCGTGTGGAAGGAGCTTAAGGACCTTCCTCTTGTAAGGCTGAGAGGTATGGTTTTTCCTGGACAGCAATACAGAAAAGTCACTGTGCTCGTGGAATGGTGAACAGTGGGAATCTGGAAGGTCGTGCCTATGGGGGTTTCTGTTTCTTCTTTATGTAAACTTTTTAGGATCTAAGCTTTCTACTGAGAAAATCAGAATCTGATCATAGTTTAAGTCAATATTCTAAGAATTTTGAGGCACAAAAACATCTTTGAGCGGTGAAGCAATCCTCTATTTCATGAATTGCAGATTTTTATTTGATTCCACTTCCTGATTGGGTAAGATATGTAATCTTACCCAATGTAAGCAAACCCTGCTTTTCTTATCTCAAGTTGAACTGCAACGTCTCCTTTTCTTCAGGACAATCACATATGGAAATTGGAGTGCCTGCAATAAGAAGAGGCTTGTTTCTGATCTCCTGCCTGAAGACTTAATAAGCCAAACTAAAGGAGAGAATTCTTTATCAAAATTGACATGACATGAATTCTCGGAGCTGGGGCACACAAGTACACAGGGACTATTGCTGCTTTTTGGTCCAGCGTGTTCAGAGGGAGGAAGGTCCGGTGAAGACTTCTGCATCAGCAAGTCTTAGACCATGGTAGTACCCTGGAAAAAGAGCAGTACAGCTCTGCCCCAACCAACTTCTCTATGTTCCTTGGAGAGAATGGGAAAATGTCCTCGTCATTCCCATGGTTTCACAGGAAAAAGGATGGAACTTGGAGAAAGGTAAGAGCTGAAGAGTGTCTCAAAAGCCACCAAAGCAAACAATAGAGTGTGCCATTTTGAGGAATTGTTGGCAGTGTGGGCTACTGATGAGGCTAAAGGGAGATCAGACTGCTGGTCTCTGAGGTCTTTAGTGACGGAAGAGACTGAGTTGAAACTAAAAACACCACCCAAGGAAAGAGGATGAACTCTCTATGTCAAGTCTACTACATTAGATTAGATCACCAAATTTGAGGAAATACAAGGCAGGCCAGACAGCAATCATTCTGTATTTCTACAAAACAACATGTGAAGTTCATCCGTTCACTTGCACTTGGATGAATATCCAGCTATCTGTAGTTGTATTAGTTCATTTTCCATAGCTGTAGCAAAATAGCTGAGGTTGGATACGTTAGAGAGAAAAGTGATTCATTCAATTCGTGGAGCTAAAAGTTGAAAGTCTGGGTAGTATGGTACTGGCTCTGGTGAGGGCTTCCTGGCTGTCACATCATGGTGGATGGCATCATGGAGGAAGCATGTAGGAGGAGAGATTATAGTAGTGAGACAGAAAGCCAGAGAGTGGGGAGGGGCCAGTCTTGATTTTCTGTAACAGCCCTCTCAAGAGAACTATTTAGGATCCCATGAGAACTATCTTAATTCCTTCCAAAGATGGTGTTTTTAATGACCTAATGATCTCCATGACTTGGCCCCATTTCTGAAAGGTCTCACCATTTCTTAACATCACCATGCTGAACTACACGGACCTTCGGGGGATAAGCCACATCCAAACCATCGCAACAGTGTTATTGCACACCACCTATTACCATATCCACTGCGACCTCCATGTGCCCATGAACATGCTGCTGTGGCTGTGGTACTTCCCCATCCTTTTTCTACCTCCTCCCTGTAGAGCTGCTGGACCCTGGAGTAGGGCAGGATCCCTTCCGCCTGCTAACCAGATGCAACTTGCTGGGGTGAGAAGAAGAATAAAAAGACAAATCTGATCCCATATCATACCTCAAGGTCTTGGTCCCCCGAGCCTTGCCTATATCAAGAATTGAAAGACCTATGAATTTAGCAGATTATCTTTCAGTAGCTGAAAATAACCAGAAATTATGGATTCTGACTGAGATGTCATTAGCAGAGAGAAAAGGTCTTATTTGGGATTGTACCACTGGAAGCCAGGGTTAAGGGAAGAATAATACCTTCATAAATTCCTTGATAAATCAGTCACACATACAATTCATTTTAGAAAGATTGTCATCCCAAGGAGTCTGATTTTTCGTCTAAGTTTGGGATTTTAAGAAGGAAAGTTAAGGCCGGGGATATCATTCTGTAGCAAAGCACTTACCTAGCATGTCTGAGGCCTTGGGTTTGATCCTTAGCACTGAAAAAAATAAAGCAAAATTAATTTGTGAGATATCACAATTTTTCAGATACATCAAGTATTAGAATGCTTTTGATTTAATACTTTGTTCTCAAAGAAATGAAAAATTCTTAGAAACTGT